AGACCGGATACACCATTGACGAGCTTGGCCTTGAAAAAGCGAAACGGCTGTTGGAAGTTTAGATCAACTTGACATGTCTAGGAAGCTCTACTGGTTGATATGAATAGTATGCTGCTATGCATTTCAGTCAATCAGTGTGAATGGTTTTATGCAAATATGTTCACTTTCTTGTTAACAGTCATCGTATCAAGTAGACTACAATATCTGATCTGAATAATTTTGGTTTCCAAGAGAAACTCTGGTGAAATCTGACTACTCGATCTGTGTGTACTTAAATTGATAACTAGCTTGCAAATTGTGAATTTGACATATCTACCTTTGTCTTTGCCTGTATATACCAGATTACTTCTTTTCATTTGGTACTGATATAGTCACTTTGTGAGATGGTAGTGAAAATTCGTCGGTGGATGAGCACGTTAATGTTATTCTGGCTGTGTAAAGTGATTTGGAACATCTTCTGTGTGTCTCTGAATTGAAGTGTCGAATTTTAGCTTCAACCATTCAGAAATAGACATTAGAATATGGGATAACTCGTTCCTAATTCACTCAAAAATATCTCTCAAAACTTATTTCGTACAGTTCACCCAAAGTTATGATTAATCCAGAAATCTAGGTGGGTGTTGTATGGTTTTGTTTACATAACGAAGTGTCATTTTATGACTGTAGTTTTGTTTAAGAGGATTCACAACTTCTCCATGGAGTAAGTGCTTGACTTTAGACAGTATTTATCTTCCATTGATAATTTACTCTGACTGCTAAGATCCATATCAAATAAACCATCAGTCCAAGTTCTTTATGCATAGCTGTTCTACAGTTTCACAGCAGACACGTCAATATTGTTTCCATCATTCAAGTGTAAATCCCTCGAGAACGTGAAGCTATGCTTTGTCTATTGTCACTGAGTGACGTAAGTTGTTTGCACAAGTTATCACAATCCTTCATAAACCTATTTTAACACTCCGTTCTACTGTTATGAGTGGATCTATCTGATGTGTAGGGTTATACACTCAAGTAAATTTTCGAGTAGTGAGTTAACTCCACTTAGGTGTGTGCCAGTACTGCATTGGTCGAAATTTATTATTATACTGCTTAACTTCACATACAGATAGCTTTAAGACTTCAACAAATTTCCCGTCAAAGTATACTTCAGCTACATTGTAAGAAATAAGTAGAAGGGGCGTTGGTTAGAAGTCTTAAAAGACTGAGATTAGTGAACATTCTTGTCGATAAATTCGTCATCCCGTCCTATTTTTTATTTCTACATAGCCAAATTATGTACACATTTGTACAGATCGTCTTCTGTATTGTGCTAGTTCTGGCCTTCCTTCATATTGTGTTCCTTTGTATTCCTTTCATGTCCTCCCCCATGTATCTTCGCGCCGATGTGTCATTCGCTTTCTTTGACACCAAATCTATCTCCTTGCTTTTTGGGTGTTTTTATGCTGATGCAAGTCTCTATTTTTATACTACTGATAATTCTTATCAGTAGCACTCGACACACTAGAGATATATGTGACCACAATAACTAAAGAAGTATTTTATTAACAACATTACTGTTGTAAATTACATTCACTCAGTAATACTGATGGATCACATTTCAGAGGCATCTGTAAGTGATCATATGCATTACAGCCACACTAAAAAAAGGATTTCTGAATTCATAAATTGTACAGCAGGCCAGGGCAGAAATAATAGCTGAAGCTCTCCTTTTGCATGCACAGCTTCAGTTGATTTAAGCGGATCTTAAGAGCGTCTGGTTTTTGAAGTATTCAGTATTTATAGGCCTTTGACAATTTATTCATTATTTGATGGATGACAGAAAAAGAACTAAGTTTTTCGTGCTTGGGGCTCTTACTATTATAGTTAAATGAAGGCATTGTTAAATCAACAACAGTTCTACGTCAGATCGCCTCGTCGAAACAGGCCACGAAGCTAACAGCATTGAAAGCTATTTATCTATTATCTATCAGGTGTCAAATAAATAACCAAAGGCCTCTAGATAGTGAAGACTTCAAATAGTAGAGACTACTGCAAATCACCGAAGTCAATCGGAACTATGTGTGCAAAAGAAAAAGGTCAGGCCAGCGGCTACTGCTACCCTGTCCTACTGTGGAACATATAAATTCATAAATTCAGTGTTACTTTCCTTAATTCATTTCATGTGTAATATCTCTTACAGATTCTTTAAAGCTATAATCTATCCATATTTTTGATCCGATGTTATTTAAAGCATTCCTGTTCTTGCGATCATTTATTCCTTCATTATTAAAGTCATCCAACTGTAGAACTTTATGAAGAAGTAATCAAAAAGAACAATTTTCGTTCATCAGATATAAGAAGTTCTCTGAAAAATGTTTATATTTCTCAAGTTTTAATTCTGTTGAGACTGTGTGAGTAATATACGATATAATTGTATATTGTTTTCATATAAATACATGTGATAATTTCCTCGTTGTGCCAAATGTCCATGAAATTTTCATGTTGAAAACACTATCACAGTCTATCTGTTATGCTGTGCTTCGTTTCTATTTTCAAATAATCCGGATACTCATTTTTAAAACTTTATCTTTTATGATATATCGATGAACCAATATATCCTTTGTGAATCTCTCAGAGAATATCAGTCAGGGGAAGTTTTCAGTCGAACTGAAATCATTAAATGTGAAATGACAAATATAAAGTTAAATCAGAAAGCTCAACATTTGACAACTTTCATTCCCATGTCACCTATGAGGCATAAGCTGTATACAGATGATTCACAGAAAACAGCTACCTCATTAGTCTGAGTCGTTGACAGAAGGTACCGAAATACACATTCTTTACGATCCCTGTATATCATTGAATTAGAATTCATCTACATTAAAAATTGATCCTTTTTATTTCATTGACTCTTTCCAGATGCGTAAAACTTTAACCCTTAATACAACAAATTGCCTCAAAACTTTAACATTTTTAGTTAATCTGACTACTTCTTATCCATATTTCTATCTTCAAGAAGAACTGTTATATAAGGAACTAATTCCTTGAGAGTACTGGACATCTGCGTAATCCTAGTATAACACCATTCAGCGGTGTGTAAATGGTTTAGGTTCTTGCCTTTTAACCAAAATGGTCATAGGTTTCACCTCAGTGGGTGCATTCTATCAAAAAGTTCCTAATTGGGACGAAACGGTTGTCCAGTACCTTACTGGTTTTCCAGTAAGTCGTTCCCTGACTGATGTCAGCCAATGATGAAGGATGTAAGAAACCAGATCCCTGAAAAACCAACACTTTGAGATTATTATCTGTGAAATTATAACATAACTTATAAGCTGAACTTTGCGTTGAGCTTGACAGTATTGATTAGTATCAGATTGATGTAATGTAATACATGGTGTGGTTTGTATGCATTGGGAAGAGAATTGATGAAATAAAATTGATCCTTATAATTCTGCTCCAGTGTTTAACGATTCTCATCTCTATTGTTGTAATTTATGCGTCAGTGGTCCATAGGTAGAATGTTCGCCAACCATGCGTGCGGTCAGCGTTTCAATCCTCTGACGGCTGATAACTTTAAGTCTCTTAGCTGGATGTTAGCCTGAAATAGAGTGACGTTGAGTGTGAGGCTAGTAATCCCATGCTGTAAAAACATAACACCACTGTTAATGAAGCATGAAGCCGTAGGTTCCACTTGGTAAGCAAAAGAATAAATTTTTAAAAATGTTGAAACTTAATCTTTCTCTGTCACCTATCGCCTATTTATTTCATTCATGAACTGTTGGGACAACAAGCATATGTCATGAGATCCGATGATGAAATATACACTAATAAATATCAATATGTTAAAGACAACAAACAATCTCTCGATGGTCTCTCTGTAGTAGGATTACCAGTACCTCTTTTTTGAGAGTTATTTCTTTGGCATTTGATTTGTTTGTAGTTTGACAACGGATTGATATTAGTCAGAGAACCACTGAGAACCACCAGAGAATACTGGACAGCCGTTTCGTCCACTTTTGCGACTATTCATCAGTACACAACTACTAGGGTTTGGATTCAGAACCTTAGTGATACAAGGCAAGCTCATGGAACATTCAGCCACTGGGACGCAACTCAGTGGCCCATGAATTCTAACTTCTATTAATTTGCGATTCCAGTGAGACCATCAGTCAATGTTGATGGCGAGTATTGTTTCTCGTGCACAAAATTGTGGCCCCACAAACCATGCTTTCTCGCCAGAACAGCAAAAACTTAGCCCTAATGGCTGTGTACTGATGAAAAGTTCCAGCCTAGGATGAAGCAGCTGTCAAGTACTCCCTGCTGGCTTTCCACTGGTTCTCCAACTAACATCAATCCATAGTCAAACTTCAAGCTAATCAAGTCCCTACAAACCAATTCTTAAACATTAATCTGATGCATGACTACAGGATGACGTTGACTAAAGTAATATTGAGAAGTTTTGAACAGTGGGATCCACCTGGCCGGTTGTAAGGGTGGATAATCGCTTATGACATTGGCTGGTGGATCCCACTTAAATCATTAATCGGTAGAAGTTGTAATTCGTTGGTCATTATGTCGGGTCTCAGTGGGTGAATGGTCTGTGAGGTCGCTCTGTAACCAGAGGGTTCTAGGCTCAAACTCCAGTTGGTTTGTACAGCTGAGTAGTCTAAAACTAGTATCTTTTTTGTAAGCAGCTCATTTAAACGGAAATATTGCAAAAACTAATAAACACGTCCTTTCGGATTTTGCTACAATCATGAGGAGAACAAAACACAAAGTATTCGTTTTGAAAACAGAAACAATTAGTTTATAAATTTATTCTCTTGTATTTTCAATGATATCATCTTAGTTGTATGAAGGATATTGATTATCACAGGAAATGTTTAGCATAAATCTGGAAAAGAAGAAAATGTTCGATCGTTAGTCAATCAGAGGGATATGTGATTTTTGTTGTGAAGGATTCAACTTTGTCAAGATCAGTTTCAAAAGTAAAATTTATTTGTTTTGAAATTCCAACTCACTTAGATGATGAACTGTAGTAGAAAGTCCATTGCCGTTTTTACTGTGTTGACACACTGAAAATAATAAAGGAGACAGTGATCATGAGAAAAGGTACTGCTGGATTGAAAGGAGAATGGTGAATGCAACATGATGGAAATAAAGCTGAATTCAGCCTTTCAGATGAATACATTTACGGAATGAAGCGAAACAGAGTGGTTGACTAGAAACAGCATCGATGGAGGAGAACTTGTACTGTAGGACAGACAACTCTACCATCTGCATTCATAGTTTCAGAGAGAGGTTTTTAATCGAGGTATATTATGTTGTCGCTATCGTGAAGTGTAGGTCGATGATAAGAAAACATTATTTGGACTATCTTGGCAGTACTAGTGCGAGAACTACCTGTAACGACAAAAAGACATGTGTTATGGTCTTAATTCAGGAAACCAATCTTTATGTCCTATTGCGTGGCTGACCATATCTTCTTTGAATTATTCACGATCATAAAATGTGAAATAATCTAAACAGCACTCACTGTAAGGCAGTTCTACAGATCAAATAAGAGTTCAGTGACAAAACAAGCACTGGCGAACAAAATTATCTGACCAAAGTTGACCGTGGGAAGTACTTGGAAATCCAGTAGAATATTTCCAACAAGGTGGAATCAAAACTTGTGTCGACTCTGTCACTCAAAAACGCTCCTCACAGACAGTCCAAGGTCAAAATAACCATGACTCATTCGGACAAAACTGCCGTCGTAAAACAACCTATTGTCAGTATCATGACACAACCACTAAGAGAAGCAGTAGAATTAGAGATTAAACGGGAACGAAGGCGAATAATAAGGACTAAGTCAACGGGGGATACCTGAAGTTTAGAACAATGATAAACCTTTCAGGCGAATAGAGTGAAAAACAATTACGTAATCAGTTGTAACATCCAAGTGAGTATAAGTATTGTAATGAGGCTGTTCATGAGGGAGTTCACAAACAATTATTCTGTTTCACTAGGTAAGCCATAAATTCAGCATGCGTAAATTGATCTGACATTATACAATGAACGAAACCTTGAGTGACTGGAGTACGTGAATAAAAGCTGCTTGGATTTTACACCATTTATTACAGCACATATGAAACTTACACCTCTAATAACCGAACTCTAAATTTCAGGACACGTCCAAGATATTTCTTTTCACTTGTTATGTTATTATGATTAACTTGTGTTTTGACAGAATCTCTCCATTTTGTGATGTTCTCTGCAGTCTTCTTTATCTAGGCTCATTACTACTCATAAGGTTTCAGCTCCTCTTCACACGAATTTTTACATATCACCCAAGAGCCCACACTCAAGTGACCGTTCTCCATTCGTATACCTCAATTTCACCAGATCATTTAGTGCATTGATAGTGCTTTCCAGGAGAGCGTTCTCCATTCGGTTTCCGCACGAGCGATTTGTGATTTCATCTGACTGTTTCCTAAGCGTGTATCTGACAGATCTCCATTTTCTCCAGAATATTTCTTGGCCGGTAGGTTTTCGATTACTTCTTTGTCAGAATTTCTTGTTTTCAGTTCTTTCAGATAGGCCATCTGATCTTCAGTGTAGAGTCATCAAAGACAACCGTTGATAAAGGTCTGCAGCAGCCTGTTCAAAATGCTTCTGCTGACACATGCTAAGTTACTTAACCATATTGAAGAATAGACTCAATACTGGTGTAGAAAATACGAATTTCGTTTTTGATGTTGAGTGCAGGAGATCGCCAAACTGATTCCAGAATGATTAAGGTTTGCCTTGCTTCGCAGAATCAGATTTTCATATCCTCATCCGTTTTGTCTGTAGGTAAAACGGTGCTGCCTAGATAAGTAGAAGGAGAGATCCCTTTCAATTTTATTCCCTTAATAAAAGGGATTGGCGCTGCCTGTGATTGTTGGTTGGTTATCTCCATCAACTCCGTCTTCTGTATGACCACTTGAAGTTCTGTTTTTGCTGCCTGCCTCTTTTCCCAACTTGTTGGTTTTTTGCCTGTAAGTATTCTAATTTTCGTGATGTAAGACATGCATCATCTGTGAAGTTCACATTTTCTAGAGTGTTCTCCTCCGTCAGACGTATTCCTCTCCTGTCGCTCCGCCCAGTTTCCACCATAGTTCAGTCCACCATAATTAGGAATATCATCGTTGATAACAGTTAGCCTTGTCTTACTCTTGTATTCACTTCTAATGCTTTGGCCAGTCCTCCATTATTGATCACCCGACATATGGCCAAGTGAGTGAATTGTAGATATCTGTAGAGAATGATGTGAACCAGTGAATCATTATCAGTCCAAGTAATTCTGATATATTTAAGATGCAGTAATAGAGAATATTCGCGTACTTTTTAGTGAATGCATCAGCATAGTTAATACATTTGCCCTCCTAGTGATAACTGAGATAAGTTGTTCAAACCAAATCTTTCACCTAACTGTATTCCATCACAAAGCACTGAATTAGTCTGAAGAATCGTAACATTTTTAGACAGAGTAAGTGGAGCAAGACCATATCTCAAACAACTCCACAATCTTGACATCAGAATCCAATTTTGTGAGTATAACACTCTAAATAAACTAGCTGTGTCCAGCCTTTGAAGTTACAAAAGCACCTGGAGAGATGGAATATGTATGAAACTGTATATACAAACTGAGCAGTACACACCAGTCCACTGTTTGACACATCAAAGTAGTAGACTAGACTTCAGTCAACCCTTATTATAATTCTAACTTTTATCATTGAATCACCATAGATGAAGATTTGATCACAAACATTGATCAGTCGTGTACAGTTTGAGCTTGTCAACTTATTCAGCTATGCTGAGATAGGAAACTAACTCTGAGTAATACTAAGTACTAACGCTTAAGATGCTAGTACAGACCTTTCTCAGTTTGTTACCATATCTTTCTTTGAAATATACCTCAGAACCACTTGAATTTTTAGAGCTATGATTCCCCTTTATAACCTGTAGTTGAAATATATATATATATTTAAATTCAATTCCACATCATAGTGCATTTCTAGAATGCTATTGTCTACGAGGTTCACAAGAGTAGCACTTACCTCAGTTGAATTAGCTGCATGGTTCTCGCATAAACTTTCTGTGAACATGTTAGTGAATTCAGGTGTAGTAGCCAGAGACATAGCATAATTTATATTCTCACTGATGCCTGAAAATATCATCAGAAAATAATGACTAGGCATAAACAATCGAAATGAATTTCTTCATGCGAGAAATTAGAGAAATAAGTTTGAGTTAGAGATCTTGGACATCATAGGATTTTCAACCGGCTAAAACAACCTGTTAGCTGGCAATTAGGCAGAAAATGCCTACACAGTATTGACTCATATTCAGATGTTGGATTTCAGGGATTGGATTGGATTCGGGATTTCATCATGAACTGAAATCAGATAGACGATCATTGAAAAGTCAGGTGGAGGTAGTGGACTGCTGTTTCGTCCTATTTCACTACCCTTCACAGTACTCAACCACCGCCGCGGGCCGAAATCTGCACTTTCAAGTTACAAGGCGAGCTAGCTCGTAGACCATGAAGTCACTGGAACTCGATCCAGTGTTCTATGAATTCCAGCTTATGCCAATTCACGATATGGCGCGACCACTAGCGACTATCATCGCCGAGTATTTAAATCACTAAGGTTTCCTAATGTTCAAAAACACTTTTTCTGTTCAGAATTATGATTCTATATGCTAGTGGTTGACTGACTTGACTAGTTATATACCATTCACACCATCCACTAGCGCTTGCTAGTCAGATTGAAGTGGTCCACACGCCAGGCGGTCATTTCACTCGTTGGGAGCTGTTCTCAGCATAACTCAGCTTTGAGAGTCGAATCAGCCCAAACCACCCGATTTCTGGCCAGATCGCTCGGTACTTAGGAAAACTAGAGACACCATAAAAGATATTCACAATCTGCAAACTAGTTCACAATTACCAGTGTGCACAGTTTGAAAGTTTCTTTTAGAAACCGAATTACTCAGATCACAACATATGATCTCTTTGATACCACATATGGGGCTAATCAAGAAACGAAGTATATTTGTAGAAATCTGTATACCGCTGGTTGATTGCGTCAAGTAATTTTATTACACGCATATGAGTTATGAATCAAAATTAAACTTCGGGAAGTTTGTGTCCAATCACAAACAATTAAGTACATAAAAGTATGGATTCCATGATATCATTAACTGATCACCGTAAGTTATCCAAAGCAAAATGTTAATGATCTGTCTAAATGTTTGATATTTAAAAAGATTTCACAACGCTTGTTTCATTCTCTCTGATGCACTACCGTTTTGATATAGTTTTGACGTTTCAGCTGAATCTGAGATCTCTGAACATAATCGTGCTTCAGCAGTTGACAAAAACGAAGAATACTTTCTGCATTGCTTAAATTTACCGTCCAAAAATGAATTGCTCTGCTATACTTGTCTTCTCATGTTTAATAGAGAAAAGACTCCGGCAAAATAAATGTCATTATCACTGTGTTACAACTTGAGTAGGATAAAGTCTTTCTAAAATGACACTAGTTGTCAGTTTTTCATTAGGCCTAGGAGTACAGGGGAAAATTTAAATTCTATCTCTACTTCTACCTTTCCTCAAATTCAAATTCGCCCAGAAGAACAAATGAAAGTTATTGATTGTTTGAGTTATATTCACTGTGAATAAAGGTTTCAGTGACATACACCTACTTGCCATATTGCCTGGTAAAAGAAAGGCACTAAAGATTATCATCTACTTCCATGTACATTGATAAAGTAATTCTTGGCATCATTTTCAAATTTATGAACGAATTCTAACAAATACACGCTTGACTGAGTTCTTTGAATAGTTTGAGTCACATAATACCCATCAATCAGTATTCTTTATTTTTGGAGAACCAAACATAAGCATGCTGTGTAGTTTACTGGGAAAACATCACACATTATTTGTAGAGGTTTAGACTTGACTCCACACCGCCTTAGTCTGCTACATCTAGAAGCAATTCAGTTAGACATCGATGTGCCCGATTCACACACAGAAGCACAAATATTATTACAGGCGTTCACTAGCGTTTTTCTCTAATTAATATGCATGTGCATATAAGTGAGTGCATGAAAGATGATTAGTCACTCACATGAGTTGCATTCCTCCACTGTTGGAGTTGGTTTCTTTACACTGCAGAATCCTAAACTCTAAAATAAAAAAAACAAAGTGAGATACGTTTAATACATTTTCTGAGAGATAAATTAAACACTCTGAATTGTTTTTATCAGATTGTTGTAGGCAATCGGCAGGACTCCTAGATCTTGTGCTTGTTGGTACTCACCAGTCGAGATGATGCATCTACAGTCTCGAAGGAACTTGTGTCACTTCTGAGATTCTAATCCGGTTGTCAGCTAGTGCTGAAGTCAATGAAGATACTACTGGGCAATTCGGATACGAGACTAAACTCCTGTTGTAGGATCGTGGCACTAACTGACATGGTTTGGCGTCTCAGCTGAGAAATGAGTTTCTTCAAGATTGCATATACGTCTTGCTGACTGGTGAGTCCCAGCAAGCACGAAACCTAGATAGAAGACGTCCTGTCAGTTGTCTTCAAGCATCTACCAAAATAAAACATGTAGGGTACACCGTGATGGTGAGCTACCCAGCATGGTGGCCTTATTGTTCAAACTCGAATGACAGAATTCATTATGTACCAGTCAAGGGACTAGACGCAGGACACTAGTTACTATCTAGTATGCAATCCAAGTATCAAATTATTGTCTTTGTAAACCAGATTCGTAGTAGACTCTCATTATTTATTTTCATTGTTATATCTTCTCAGGTTTCACCAGACACAATAACTAGTATGCTACTGAAATCTCTACTGTGCACGACTTGAGCATATATACTGCTCTCATTAAAACATTAACTAGACAAGTCAACGATATTCACAAATATGACAAAGAGAATTTTGATGCATGTTTTCATTTCTGATGTTTCAATTGTTCTCTGACTGAAGTCAATCCTGACAGCAATGAGTGTGGATTGACTAGGTGCTTAGTAGTGCAATAGATATAGTGTTTCAAAGTAGATTTTGTGAAAAGTCAATATTATTTGAAAAACCATAGATCAGTAAAGAACTACTGATTGGTTATTCGGTCCTTGTCTAGAACTTCTCACAAGTCTGCATTCATAACTTTTATCTGACGAGCACTTGCACAAACTCTGACCTCATAACTCACATTTGAAAATTATTTAAACCACTAAAGGTATTTTGTTTGTAATCTTGGCATAAGAGAATCAACTTTCTATAGTTTGGTTTGTAAGGATAGTTATGTTTACGGGTTGATCACGGATTGATATCAGTTAGAGAACCATTGAAAACCAGGTAGTACTGGACATCTGCTGTTTCATCCTAGTTTGGGAATCATCGGCAGTACGCACCCACTGGGATTCGAACCCGGGACCTTCCGGTTACAAGGCAAGCTCGTATACCATTCAGCCACTGGGACCCGATTCAATGGCTCGTGAATTCTAACTTCTACTAATTCGTGATTTAGCGCTGAATGGTATACGAGCTTGCCTTGTAACCGGAAGGTCCGGGTTCGAATCCCAGTGGGTGCGTACTGCCGATGATTCCCAAACTAGGATGAAACAGCAGATGTCCAGTACTCCCTGGTTTTCAATGGTTCTCTAACTGATATCAATCCGTGATCAACCCGTAAAACATAAGAGAATCAGTCCTACTCAAAATAAATTTATGGTGACAACAATGAAAAAGTGCTAACTTGTGGTTCAGTTACACCACTCAAATAAACACAGGTCTCTGCAAATGCAAGTATCTTACTTTTGGTTTGTCTACTAACAACAAAAAGTAACTTGGTAGCACCGACATCATGACCGTAGACAGTGAGATGCATTACCCCTTGACTTCAACATTTTTCAGTCACTTCCTCAAATGCTCCATCATGGCAAGTAGAAAAATGTAGCCTTTCCTAACGACCTATGTGTATCTGCTTCGAGAAACACACTCAAAGTGATAAAGGCAGTTTTGAAGTTTTGAGGATCAGCTGCTACCTGTATATATCAAATTTAGTATGACTGTGAAAGTTTTATTAGCATTTGTTGCTTATTTCATTACATTAAGTGGAGATAGACTGTATGCTGTTGTGCTTCAAAGCAAATTTCGGAAAACTTGTTTACAGTGTGCTTTATTTTATTCGTTGGGATATCTCATCATGAGCTGACATCAGTTACACAACAATTGGAAAACCAAATGGGAGTACTGGACAGCTAGTTCATCAGCCTAGTTCGGATTTCGAACCCACGACTTTTGGGTTAGAAAGCGAGCTTGTAAACCATCAAGCCACAAGGACCCGGTCCAGTGGCCAACCCATGAATGCTAACAATTGATGACATGGCGCGACCACCTCACAATGTCCTCTTCGATGAGCTACTGCCTAACCTTCAACCTGCTATACCCTACTGGTCATGGATTCCAACTAGAATCCCAGGTAACTACCTACCTGAATATTTCCAGTCGCTTGTGGGCATCTGATCAATTTTCAAGTATCGGTTTTGTTGGGATTTTGTGTTTGATTGGTTGAAGCATTTCGTCATGAGCTGACATCAGTTAGAGAAGCACGAAAAACATGGGAGTACCGAATAGCTGCTTCGTCCCGCCTTATGGCTCTTCAACAGTATGGCTGATTTCAAGTGAGCAGTTAATTGTCTCTTGTCTTTCCCTTTCTCCTCAATTTCGTTTGCACAGTTGATTTTCTGTCATATTTATTCTGTTCACGTCTTTGCGTGGGAATGTTACAGAGTCGGTGGTTCACTGGTGGAAGGCCCACTAGCTATGCAAGTATTCCAGGTGTGATTCCCGGCTGACTGACACCTAAACGCCTCCTGGCAGGTGGTAAGTGCAGTAAGAGGGAAAGTTTGGGAGTGGGTATTGCAGCTCCATCCTTCATGAAAGCAAACACAATCGCTGCTGAAAATTCAGAGCTCCAGTTTTACCTCTTATGTTTTACACGTGATGCATAATAACGAAAACAGAGAATGTCACTGGATTGAAACTATTACTTTAAAGAGAGTAAACCAGTAAAATCTGGACTATCCTGTATGCTTTTATGATTTCCACAGATATGCTGCATTAAAGACATTCCAGTACTGTTAAATGTACATTTTGGGTTACATGTGATTCCACATAAACCCCCATGTAGTTCAACTATATCCTCCATTCATATGATGAATTAAGTAAAACTCGAGAGTGAAAATGCTGTCATATTAATATGTATTATGTGAAAGTTAAAAGATTTGCGGGGATACTGGATAAATTACAACTGTTAGCCTTTCATTACGAATCAACATCAATTACAGAGGTCATTGAAAATCACGGAGAACTGAGTTTCCTGAAGTGCACACAGACACACACACTAGCCTGCTAGAGAATTTGTGTTCAGTGGAGTCAAACATGTTAAGGTGAAATGAGTAGTGATCGGAGGCACTGGTAAGGACAGCGCTGTATTATTCTATCTGACACAGTGTGAAATCAGGCGTCATTGTACTCTAATGCAAATGGTTGAATAGTCAATAGCTCGATTTCATGATCTGCAGGTACTGCGTCTGATCCCTGGCGACGGAATCATTGGTGTACACCGTTGAAAAGTCACAAAATAGGCTGGAAAAGCTGTCCAATGTTTCCCGGTGCTTTCCAACAATCTCTTTACTTCATGTCGGTCCTGTGTCGGAAATTCAACAACTGAAATTATGCAGAAGGAAGCTTACATACATTCAGTAGTGATAAACTTATCGCCATACACTAAACATTCTGAACAGTTTGTCATCATCGATTAAGAAACTGAAAGAAAAGTCCACGTTTAACTGGAAGATAAAGCTCAATATCATGCTGAAGGCTGAATGAGTTTCAAGCTTAATTTCATTTACAAACTCACAGCAACTGGGAAGTACCTATTTATTCTGAGTCATTGGACTCATCCATTCTGGAATTATTCACACTGATATTTTTTAAAAGAACAAAATTCAAAGAAAGTAGTGTTGACTTACTCTACAGAAACGTGTAACATTCATTTTCCTAACACATGCATGAATTTTGTCCATTGCATTATCTGTAAAATTGTGACACTGACAGAAATGAAAAAGGAGAAACCACAACAGTGTGTCTTTGTTAATTTATGGCAGAGTTGAAATAGTTATCTATTTTTATGATAGAAAAAGCGAACATGAAATTTGTTTTCTACTAGCGACTGTTTGATTCCGTTTTATCAGCCTAGTCCATAGTCTATGGTTTTGCTTCTTTTGAGAAATTTATGACTGGATTACAAATAAGTGGATGGTATCTTCTGAATTACTTCGTGTCCTGAATTCTGTCTCTGTGTAAAAGAAATTACATCATAGTAACATGAGCTTTCAACGTAAAGAAACATCTCTAATAATGAAAGTTAATCCTCAATGGAAAAATCCACTAGGCAGGCCTTGAGGTAAAGACAGGAGAAATACCAGGTTGCTGCCTGCTATCATAACCGATGATATTCAGGACTGTGGTAGACTAGATCATGAGGATGACTGTGCGTAGGGAGCGATGAGACAAGAATATGTTTATCAGGTAGGAAGACTCTAGACGATATGAAATTTTGTGGTTGGATTTATGCATAATGTTACATGGAATCGAAGACTTGCAGGAAAAAACCGACAAGTTGGGAAAACGAGCATGTAGATAAGACAGAACTCAAAGTGAACATGGAGAAGGGGAAGATGGCGAAGATGACTAACCGCCATCAGTCACAACACGCACCGATAACTAAAAACTGGAGAAACTTGATAGATGACTTCCTTCACTTATGTAGGAAGCTTTGCTGCAACCAGGGGTGGAACAGGAGAAGATCTCATAACCAGACAGACATTCATCACTGTGAAATCAGTTTTGAAATCTTCTGCACTCAGTGTGAAGAAAAAAAATTGGGATTTTGAGCATCGGTCTCAATTCGGTCAGTTCTTCTAAATCAATCAAAATCTTGGTGAATGTGTCAACAAAATAATTTCTAACAGGCCACATCAGAATTTTATCAGCATCTGCGTTTTCTGGCTCCACATTGGTGATCAAATGGCCAGAGAGAATGAATCGGAGACAAGAATCTCCGGGAATGAACTAACCAAGAATCTATTGCACAAAGAATATTCTAGAGAAAATCGAGATGAATCAGATGCACTCTGAGGAGACAAAAGTGTGAGATCGCACGCCAGACAGTAATTCCAGTGGGATCTGGAGAGGGAAATGACGCGTGTAGTCTCCTTGAGTGACATGAATGTGGTCGCGTGACAAGCAGATGAAAACCAATGGCCAGCTGGGTAGCCAGGTGAAGAAGACTGTACAGAACAGTACAAAATGGAATTGTGACCTCAGGTAACGATAATATCCCCCCAGATATTTGGTGATCTGAAAAGACGTTGTCTCTCTTGAGCGTCTATTTATCCACTTTCAACCTAGGTAGATGAATACGTCTCACTACGTTATAAAGTCTTGAAATGTCCCCTGAATTATTGAAAACAATTTTTGAATTACCTTTCTGCTATCCTCAAAATATTCAAATCCAGAAGTTCTGCTCAACTACCGATATCCTGACTTAAAACCGAATAATGTGACACAAACAGATTCACGCTCTGTCACAATTCTGCTTGTCTTAATTGACCTTCATTCAGCTATGTATAAAAAGTGCATATTCGAAAATATTTCACTATAACCCTGTTAGCCTTACCTTGATGTTAACATGACTTGTTTATGAAGACAAATTATACTCACTTTCATTCTCCAAGCTTTCTTTGGGAGCATGTAGCATATCGGAGTCATGATGTCTATGATTATTGGGACAATTGGTTCATGGTTCAAGATCCATTTGGTTGCATTTCCCAATCTTACACATGTTCCACATACTAAAATTTAAACAAAAAGGAAAATAAAATCCTCCGAATAATCAGATAATTTCATTACACCTACAAGTAAACACTGTGAGAGTATTTTCCCCGAAGCATACATAATCTTATCATCTTCAACACAAGCTCAGCAAATACGTAGACTGAGAAGTCATTTTCCTATTTTTTCGAGTAATAGTGATCGCCTCCTAAAACAGACTATCAGAATTCAGTTCCTGTTCAGAGATATAGAAATAATAATAATAATAGCTGCATTTGGACACATATCTACACAATGAACGGAATTCCTCAGTGTAATTTATCTCAAACTTTCCCGCCTCCTCTAGAATCTCCGAAGAAAATATCACTCTGCAGTATATCATATGGCTCAATTCTGCATCATCTACAGTCTAGACTAGTCTTCAGTGGAATGTTTCCTTCGTCTCCGAAAAATGTACACCGGTAGTTCAAAAGTGAATTGAAAGTATGCGTGAGTAGATTTAACGGCTCAATGACATAAACAACAGGAATTGCAGAGAAATTATGAGATACTGTGTTGCGTGGAATGAAAATTCAGTTGTCCCAGTGATTTGAGCAGTTAGGCTTAACTGCATTCTCTGAATAACTCTATCAAAGTTTAGTAGTCATAGTGTAGTTGCTATGTGAGAGAATGTGTGATACAACAATTTAAAATTTTTCTTGTAGCTTTGTTTAAAACTTTCGAAATGTTAACTTAAATTTTCAGCTGTTGTTCAAAGTATACTGTTTTATTTTCAAAACGATGGACTATTGTGTCTCCAGTTATTTCTACTTGACAATTTAGGAAAGTCGCCGATAGATGAAGTTGATTTTACTTGGAAGCAGCATGTTGGTCAAGATTCTATTATGCCTCTCTCTCCACAGAATTAGTTGCAGGACTGACTGAAGTAATCCTCTTTTGGAGGATTATAGAACCTGAGATTCACTGTCATGTTAGATGACAACAAAATGTGTTTTTATGTATATAGATATACGAAAAATAAAACTTACGCAGGTTGCACTGTGGTTTTGTCAATTTTGAGGCAGGTATCTAAATGCGAAAAAAAAATCAAAGCCTTTGGTTATTTGAAATAATGATAAATCTTGAAGGAGAAATTCATTGACCACATATGATATTTACGCATTTTCTGTGGGCATAGAATACTGGAAGATGTTTTGAAATAATATGAATCTTCACTTATTTGCTGACTAGTTCACTATGCAATGACGACATGATTTATCTAAGAAATGGGATGCATAAGAATAGGTAGGTGACGCATAATCTTCGCATTAGGAAATCTAACAATGATGCTGACTTCATTAATTACTTGGAGTTATTTCACAACCAGGAGCTGTTGTTCCCATTGGACAGAAAAAGCACATATATAAAATAGACATAGTTTAGGTTTCAGTAGGAACGAATAAACAAAAATCTGCTCCAAGACACCAAGGTGACCTTAAACAGTTTTAATTTCAGCCTGCTGAAAATCCTTTCTGCACCTTCAAGTGGTATGAAAAATGTTTATTTTTGTCCAATACCACGAACAATTTCAATTACAAATGCCTCATAAAATCTTCCAACGATTCATAATTATTTCCATAAAAAATACCTATTTTAATGCTAGTACACTTGTGATATAAATCTGCAGGGAGTAGTATTGGAACGGCATTGGGAGCGACGTTTCAACAACAGGTGGATGGTAGGCATAAGTATATCGATGACCGCCAGGACTGAGAAAATGAGGAAGATGTTCACCACGCTGAAAGCGGATCGGAGATCTACAGTATTCAGCACAAATAACAACATCGAATATTCGACACTGATTTCAAATCAATGATTGCATACGCTCCACAGATTACAGTAGTATTAAACCAGCAACAGTCACGCTGGCTTGATTCTGTAGGTCAGATAACTAGCTCGGGAAAATCGTCTACAAGGAACTCTGGACGACAGTGAAGCAATCTTCCTGTTACATTAGTTTATAAAAACTTAAACTAACTGAGAAATTCGAAATAAACACTTTATTAGAAACTGTCGATACATGTGATAAGTGACTCGTCACCATTGGGTTCTATTTAACCTGCTGAAGCGATAGAATGCCCACCATCTACTTACGTGGTTCAGGGTTCTATTGACGATTGATACACTCGTAAACCTCAGCCATTACTAGGCCTAGTACACAAGGATGCAAGATTCTTCATATGTCTAGAAACCTTATCACGTAAAAACACGCATAACACGATTGCTACTAAGGCTTCAAAACTCAAGCATTAAAGCCTTAAGCTCCCCTCAGGATACAAGGGAATAAAACAGGTGAAAATGGACTAAAATTAAATACACACGCATTAAATAGGTGAACTTACAACATTTGTCTCAGTGAATGTGATACCACAAATACCTACAGAAGATAAATTCAGAAAGAGGAAATGTTCAATTACAACTGTAAAGTACGCTTACCCAATACAATACCTAGTGCAAAAATCTGTTGAAACATGTTCATTTTTTGTCGTCTGCCTTTAATTTGTAAGCGATTCTTTACAGCTGCTTATATACTTTGTGGTAATTACATCTATGATTAATGTTATCATAAAGATTTGTTTAAACGTTTCAACCACTTATGTGCAACACTAGTAATAATTTAATTGTTTTAAAGAGCAGAGTTCACCGTTTCAAACAAACTCTTTGAAATGTTTCCTCACAGAATTACCCCTATTTCTTTATCTATTTTTTGTTTGATTATTTATACGATAAAACACTTAGACTTCGCAATTTGCATTTAATTTAAATTTGTTCAATGTCCAATGAGTTATGTTTATCCATTTATTTGTTTATTTCAGTTAGATATGACTAAATAATTCATACCATTATGACGTACATTTTGAGCATGTCAGACGTCAGTATTTTTTCTGAAAATGTGATTTATTCTAGAGATGAATAAAGTTAGCTTTCGAACAAATTAGTTTGAATAAATGATCAGAATTTGTGTTGTTAATAGTGATAAATGAAGCAGATTTTATTTAATTTATTAAACATTCAAGGACTTCATTATTTAAAAAAAAATAACAACAACTTTAGGCTTATAATTTCTTATACTCGAACTCTGGTCAAGTAATCATGAATGTATGTGTATATTAGCAGATGATTGCATATGTGTTTTGTAACAGTGTAACTATAAGTTCTACTAGACTGTAAAGTGTCAATATTTTCACAGAATGTTGTTTTGAAAATAATTTACAACTGAGTGTTTGCTCAGAGTCGATTTATTGCACTGTGAGATTAACTCACTTCATTCCAAGCAAATTAATTTTAGTTAGCCTTGATTTATTCTCAACTATATATGTTCACTTGGTTATACTTGTAGCATCTTGAAAGGTAAAAGGCATGAGAGGTTGGTGATAGCAGCCGAAGAGTAACACAAATGTTGACTTCAGAAGGCATTAAACTTAGGGAAGATATCTTGTTGATGTGATTAGTATATATCGCTTGCCACACGTACAAACCGAACAACAGTTAAGCAGTTTCTGAGATATGGGAAGCCGCTTTTTGTTCTGGTTTCAGACTCTTCAATTGTGCACTCCCATGTAAACACATCACCTTCAGATTACGAGATAAGCCAGAGGACCATTCATCTTTGCTAAGGCTGATATCTTGAATAAGACACACAAAGTTTAGGTAAACTTAAAACGTCACGGAAACGGATGGTGTTCACGAAGAATATGCAAAATAATTGAATGACAGAATGGTTATCCATCTGGCAAATTAAGAAACAGGCGAAGATCTTAATGTCAGACCAATGCTTGAATGCTTTTCTACCAACACTTTGAGAAAACTGATTGCAGATAGTTATGCAGTTATTTCATTGCCTGACTTTACAAGGAGTAGAATCCGATTCAGTCGCACAAATTCTATCAAAAATATGTTTGTCAATAACAGTGTTTCCCAATCATAAACACACATTATATTTAATTCAATTTTGATTTTGCAGTTGCACCGAAATTTCCCGCCTATGTTGACGTGTCGTCTACCTCTATGGATGTTTCAACGATGTTTAAAAATTTAACTTTATTATTTTAGTGAACGATGACTGGCAGTGGGATTCAGGAGACACTTCTCATCCAATATGGCAGTCATCATCTATATGTGCTCACACTATCCACTAAGTCTAGAACCCAGTACGCATAGTTTCAAACCTCGAAGCGTCATCCACCTGACTGCTTGAGCAACGAGGGTCACCTCTTGTTCAATAGAATTCAATAATAATAATAATTACTGACAACCTTTGCAAGTAAACTGAAAGAACAGAAAAAAGGGGTTTCTTTCCGGTTTTCTAAGCACATTCCAAGAAACTATCGCATGGGGCAGCTACCAGACGCCTTGTTGTTAATGAGAATTCTTTTGAGATTTCAAAATTTTCCAAAGTATGAAATACATGAAGCACAGAAAATTTACTGTAGTTTGCTGAAACAGGGGCAATCAAGAATTTCTTACGAAATTTTTGCATACAGAAACAAAGTTTAACCTATCTGTCACTTCCTTTGTAATTGTATTTTCATTACATTGATTAGCAATCCATATTAAAGATTTCAGCTCACTCAGTGAATTTCAATCTTATGAACTATAGACCTCTTGAACTGTTCCGTAAAACTACAGGCTAAAACATTTTCCCTTGAATTTTTCTGCTTTCTGTCCTTTCTTCTCCTTTATTTTACTACATTGAAGGCATATCAGTTGGTGGTAAATTAAATTGAAATTTGTAATGGTTATATCTCGGATGTGTTAAATTTATAATATTTTTCCTACTACCATTCAGACATTGAAATATGTTATTGTCATTATTTATAACCATTGTAACTTCAGGTAGTTTGCAGTGAGCTGATGAGGACCTGTGAAATAGAATGCTGGCATAATTTCATCCTGCAAATTTGATCTTTCTCTTTTTTATTGAAATTTCTAAATGGAACCAAGAACATGAAACAAAAATCAATCCTGCGTGTCGTCGACTGATATTCAAAACAAAAAATCGCTTGCATCAATTCCAACTGAACGAAACACAAATAAAGGTGAGAAGAAGGTCTCAAGATTAATTTGACTTGTCAATATGATTAACATTCTAATTAAAGTACTGTTAAAACTATCACACACAGATAGTGATGAATAACAGCTTCTCCGACATCTCAGAGATCTCGAGCTTTTGTGAGAGCCTTATTGATCTTGGTAATGTCCTTCAGATCAAAAGTTATGAGTCTAGGAAACAAGATGAAGACTGTAGCAAATTGAAATTTGAAAAAGCCGAATTTTATGCCATTAAAAAAAACAAATCAAAGCGTCAGATGGCGATCGAAATCCATTGAGGTAGAATAATATGGATTCAATTAATCTCATCATTTTGCTTCTCCTACGTACAACCTGCAATATGTATTACACCAGAATATAGCCATTCGAAACTGGAAGACATCGTCGAACTGGACACAAGCGTTGTTCGATATGAAGTTAAGCATATAAGGTGTGTTGGGATTTTACAAATAACTGTCTTCCAGAGTTAGTTTATGATGATTTAATTGGTTACAGCTTCTATTATAAGTTGATGTAAATAAAAGAAGCATTTGATAACCAGGAAGTGTTAAACAGTGGTTCAGACTGAACTGGGCACCATATATGAAACAATTATATCGTATATGGCCATCAAAATTTCTATAGATTTAAAAGTTTTGAGATATGAACATTTTTCAGAGAAGTCTTTGTTTTCGTGGAAAAATAATGTTCTTTTATTTAGCATCATCACGTTCTATGCATATATATTCATACTAATAAAAGAATTATTATTATAAGCAACATTAGTGTTTTAAAAGGCTACTTTGTCAAGCTATAAAATAGTGATGACCTACGCCTCTGCAGTATTTAGGGTAGAATCATGCTCTTGTGAACGACAAGTGAAATACCAACTCGCGTCATCCTGGAAAGAACAAAGGATGCACTGGATACAGAACTCCACCTCACCGACCGGAACAAGCTGGATTCAAAGAAGACAAATCGTGTGCTGATTGAGTTGCAACTCTAAGTATCGTCATCACAGAGCAAAGCATAGAATGGCATTCAAACCTCTCCCTACCTCAAATTCATCGACTTCACAAATGCATTCACAAGTTAGCGTTGACTGAGTTGTATTTTGGAAACTACTTCAACACTACGGCGTGCAGTTCCCAGGTCATTATCAACCTTGCTCAACCACAGCTAGTTATATGACACTATCACGTGTCAGGTGATCCACAACGGAAAACTCAGAGAGTCATTTGAAGTCAACACAGGAGTAAGACAGGAGTGGGTGCCTATTATCACCGGTGATATTCTTGATTGTGGTGGACTGGATTATGCAGAAGACTAAGGGGAATGAGAAGACAGCAATACACTGGACGACTGATAAGAAGTCTCTAAAAGATCTGGATTTCGCGTGTGGATAATTTGTGTCGAGTGTCATACAAACTCAAAGACTTGCTAGCGAAAAGCAACAAATTGAAGGAAGAGGCTGGCAGCTAAGATAGGAAGCTGGGCGAATATGGGGAGGACGGGGGTGGTGAAGATATTCGTGCACCAGCAGCAACAACAACCAGCATCAATCACCATCAACAGGGAAGATTTAATGCAGGTTACTTCCTTCTCTTACCAAGACATTCAGAATTGTTTCAACCACAGCCAGATGGCACGGATGATGATGTCAAATCCAGTCGGATTCGGAAAGGCAAGATACGCCTCAGTTTGACTAAATCGTGTGGGAACTAAGCTCTAGTGAGTCAAAAGTGCTTAAGAAAGGACTAAATTTCAACGTAACAGTTAACAAATTAAAACCAGAGGATGTCATTCCTAACGTAGAAGTAGCACTAAGCTCAAGATACTCCTCGATCAACCAGAAACCAGTTCAGAAATCTTCTGCACTCAGCCAGCATAAAAACAAAATTCGGATTTTCAAGAGACTCATTTGTACTATGTGGGTCAGAAAGGACTTCCAGTAAGTTACTTCAGGTTTTTTCAACAGTCGCCTTTGCTGGCTGTATTCGGAGGATCAAATGACCGGCCAGCCAGAAACAATCAGCAATAAGAAATTCTGTATGGGAAAAAACCAACCAAGAGCTGATCGCTCAACAAATACGTAACAGAAAGTGGAGATGGATCGGGTATATGTTGAGGAAGCAGACCGTCAAATGACATCGCGCGCAATGCAAGCCATCCCTCAAGTGAAATCTGAATAAGGAGCGACGAGTAGGTCGTCAGTGTGAGGATGACATAGAGAAGATCGTGTAGCGAGGAGGAGATTAGCGATTATGGTCAATCATGGATCAAGCTGAAGAGGACGGCACAAAATAGGACAAAGTGAAGACGTGTTGTCAAAGCCCTATATTTCCCTTGGAGCGTGAAGAGAATAATAATAATAACAGAGTTTTAATCACAAGGAACCAATAGTATTAATTGATGATAATCACTTTATTCCAAACCACAATAGTTATA